AAAAAAAAAAAAAAAACAAAAAGAGGGGTGTGGAAATAAATAAAAAACACTTATTTATGAAATACGTTTTTTACAAAATTTAATTGAAAAACGTATTTCATTAATACGTTTTTCTTTATAAAAAATTCTGTAAAAACGTATTTCATGAATACGTTTTCCAACCAAATTGTGAAGAAACCGTATTTAGTGAATACGTGGTTTTTATTTTGTTCCACTTTCCTCTTTGTTTTTTGTTTTTTGTCCACTTGTTTTTTATATATTAATAAATATATAAATTGCTCCATAAACCCCCGGACCTGCCAGCAACAGCTGCAGGACCTCCTCCAGTTCAAGGGCATATCCCATTACGAAGGTCCAGACTCGAATAACCACACTGCCGTCCCAGGCCCTGGGGACTACTCATCGAGGAACACCACAGCAATTACAGGGAACCGTGGGCTGGCGGGCATGACGTGTTCGAATTCCTAACCGAGTCAGCCAACCTGACCTCAAACTCCAGAGTTCTTGAGATCGAGTGTGTGACCCTCCGGGTCGGCTTGCATTTTGTACGTTTCTTGGATCCCGGGAGGTACCACTGTCTTGAGAAGGACGAGCTCTCTTTAATGGCTGCCCTAAGGTATGAGCTCCCATCTCAGGGTTTGCTGCACAAGCGTCCTCTCATTGTGAGAGGTGAGGATATGGATTTTAAAAAACAAATACAAAGAATAAGAGAATATATAAAACACATAAATTTTACTACTAATAATTACTCACTAATTTTTCTCCTGAGCGGTCGCTGGCCCGCCCTACCCCAAGGCCAGCCCCGTTGAGTAGAATTATCTAGTGGGTTTTGTAGATAATGCTCGAGAATTCTGCTGTTTGGTCTGTCCAGTGTTGATCGTATATAGATCGTTACAGTAGACTCAACTAACTTGCTTAATTATCAACAAGTTGGAAATTCGGTATGGTTTTTTTATACCCTTGGTGGCGACTTTTGACAATTTTTTATTTTTTTTTAACAAAAATATCATGTTAAGTTATGAAAAAAATTCTTGTGTAGTAAGGAAGAATGAATTGTTTTATGAGCATACATCTTGAAACCACAATGACATAGTTTCATATTTGAATTTGCATTATTCACGAGATTGTATCTTGGACTCTATTGAATTCATATGCTCGATATATAATTAATAGTATGTGCATCGGCTTGCGTATCATGGTTAATAAACGAACAGACGGATTCTGTTTATTATCCGAATGCGTACGGCCTAGTCCCATATCCTGGTTGGATTGGAGCCATCAACGGGAATGGGTCGTAGAATGGGTATATTGCAGAACATGAAGGGACCTGGGTTTCAGCCGCCATCATGAAATAGACGTCGAGTCTCTTGGTAGGGATAGGGTTGAAAGGAGAAGGCTTTGGCCTATCTTAGTGTGTCACCTTTTTGGTGAGTGCAAACGTACGCGCAGGTGTCTGATCAACATTTGGTGCTGAATTATATGTACGCTATATGTATTTTAGTTACATAGATTTGATGGATGTGTTCAAACGGTTTGGTTACGAATTTATTGTGAAAATATTGCATTCCCTACCCCCTACCTACCTGCTGAGCCCTTTTGGCTCACCCCACGTTTTTCAAAAAAAAAAAAAAAGTTCAGATTTATAACAGATAAGGCAGATCGTGACTAGCTCCACAGACATACTGCGAGTATTGCCCTAACCTTAGTTTGCCTCCTTGCGTTCTTCGGCGGCGACTTAGAATATTCCGGTTTTGTCCAGAGTTATTTTGATCTTGTATTTTTATTCAGATGTTTCCGCTGTTGTCCCGTGTTCTTTTATGTTTAGCTCGATAAAGTAGACTCGTATTATGTTATTTTACAATGATTACATTTTGGGTTGTGACAGTAGTAATTTAAACAGTTACTTCAACCTTCCAGTTTTAAATGATGTATCTTGATAGAATTTCCGTGTTTAAGGAGTTATTTAGTATTTTATATGTGTAATTAATAATTATACCTATTTTTTTTTTAATCTTGGGGGATAATTTATGTTTATTTATTGATTTCTCTTTGTTTGCAGTGTTTAGTTTTCAAGACTATTGAGTGGGTCTTGGATTTGGTGTGGCTGAGAGACGAGATTGTTCATTTGAGTAAGGATAGATAAAATCTTCAGAAACATCTTTTGCTTCGAGTTTTTGAGATGGCTAACAGCAAGTATGAGTACGTGAAGTCTTTTGAGGTGGAAGATGAGATTATGCCACCAAATGTCATTGTTGTCCGCGTGGATGGGCGTGACTTTCACAGGTTTGATTCAACATTTGAATTCTTGTAAGTTTTTGAATTTGCGCTTGTTTTTAATGAGTTTTTCTCCTCTAAATTATATGGAGTAGGTTCTCTGAAGTGCACGAATTTGAGAAGCCGTATGATAAGGAAGCATTAGATCTAATGAGTATGTGCGCAAAGGCCATTTTAGAGCAATTCCCTGATATTATGTTTTCTTATGGTTTCAGAGATGAGTATAGGTAATGTATAAGAATAACATATTACAAGAATTTCTATTGTTTACGTACATGATGGGGTTTGCTACTTCATAATTTGTTTCATTTTGGTCTGTAGTTTTATATTTAAAAAAGCAACCAAATTTTACCAGCGTCGCGCCAGGTATATATTTCAATCAGATAATTTCTCTTTAAACTTTCTTTTTCTTCTATTTTGCACCACATTTTGGAAAATATTCTTTCATTTGAATCAATAATCTTAGTCATGATTGCTGACTGTAATTGCTTTGCAGCAAGATACACTCACTTATTGTATCTTTTTTCACGTCTATGTATGTCACCAAGTGGAAAAAATTCTTCCCACAAAAGGACTTGAGACTTGCTCCTTCTTTTCAATCACACATTATTGACTGTGCATCCGTGGAGGTTCTTCAAGCTTATCTTTTATGGAGACAACTTGAATGTGAGCAAAATTTGAATTTTTTCCTTGTGATAACCCCAAAACGCGCAATAAATTATGTTCTAAATTTTTTTATGCTTAAAATTGCACTATTGTATGTCTGTAGAGAAATTATTTTGGGGGGATTTTACATTTGATTAAAAAAAAGTGAAGTTTCTTCTTTTGGCAGGTCACTTGAATAACCAGTATGATACTTGTTTTTGGCAGCTGATTAAGAATGGTGGGAAAAGGGAAAAAGAAGCAGAAGAAATGTTGAAGGTGAACTTCTTTGCATAACCTTGCAGTATCTATAATCTATCGGTGCAATGGAATGCATGGTGTGGCAACAAAAAAATTTTAATTGTAAAAATAAGTTTATTTGGCCATTGTCAGCAATTGTATTTTTGTGAATCCTGTTGCCTTTTGTTACCTTTGAGCTTGTGTGATTGATGATGACTAAAGTATCAGATAGTTTTGTGTTGACCCTATATGCATTACTAAAGTGATTTTACTACATCACTTTTCAAATAAAAACTCTCCCAAGTTTTTTCTTATTTTAATAGCCATTAGTTAACAGCTAAAATACTTTTGCTTTGTGAAAATGTTAAAAAAATTAACCACTTCTATGTGTTTAAATGAGTTGAGCACAGTGTTACGAGATGGCGGCCATGGCAGTAGGGCGCGACAGATTTTTGCCAAACCGCCATGCTAAAATTGTGAAGGATGGTGGTTATGGAGGTGCCATGGGCCTCCAGAGTCCAGGGCGGGATTTTATCCGCCATTGGTATCACTTATCGGGCAGCCTAAACTCTCCATAAAAATATAAAAATATATATAATATGTATACATGCAAATCTTATTCTTAATTCTTTTATGAGTAGCCTCTGTCATATTTGTTGGCGACGAGCACCTCTAAATAATAAACTCGTATTTCTTTCACGTATCTTATGTTTTCCTAATCATGGTTCATGTCCATTGAAAATAACATGTTGCTTTTGATTGCTATTTACAGGGATCTCAGAAGCAAGTAATAAATGAATTGTTGTACCAGTACTTTAACATTAACTACACAAAAGATATTCCAGAAATCTTTCGCCAGGGAACATGCGTTCTCAAAATAGAGGTATCTTTATGTTTCTTTTCCTTCCCTTTATGTTCTTTCATCTTTTTCTCGCTCTTGATGTGAAATGAAAATAGTGTTTTTGAGCTTGAGGCCTTTTTCTGAATTGGAACCCATTGTACCATCCAACATTTCTAAACTTCTTGATCTGCTCAAGAATTGGCTCGGCATCTTAATTGTATATGTTGGATCAACTAGGTTGAAGATATTGTGAAGTACAAAGATGATGGAGATCCTGTCAAAAGACATAAGAGGAAGGTCATAACAGCTCATTCGAAAAACATTGCATCTCGAAGTTTTTGGAATGGTCACTTGTGCCTGTTGAAGGAGCTAGGCGAATTCGTTAAAGATTTAAACAAAATCGAATCAGATTATGTTAGATCTTTCCAATATAAGAGCAAGTTGATGCCATTCACTTGGATTGTTATTCGCATTGATGGTTGCCATTTTCACAGGTGATCAACTCATGCCTAACTTCACACCATGTCTATGTGGGAAATGCTTTACTGGGACTCCAATCTTAATGTGATTGGAGATTTGTACTTGATGGACTTGTATCTAATTAATATATTTGAAATGCCGAAGTGAATAGTCCTCCAGAAAATGTGGGGAGATTGAGTAAAAAATGATTAAAAACAAATAGTTATTGAAGGTTTAATATAATTATAACATTTCTTTGTTCAGTAACAAAAATGGGCTGGAAAGTTTCTTCAGGCTATTGAGGCTTCTCTCTCTTCAACAATATACAGATATAGATGACATTTCTCTTTCTTTGCTTTTCTTTTGTCAGGTTTTCTGAAGTTCACGAATTTGAGAAGCCCAACGATGCGCAAGCTATCAACCTGATGAACTCATGTGCAACTGGTGTGCTAGAAGAGTTTAAGGACATTATCTTTGCTTACGGGGTTAGTGATGAGTATAGGTAATAAATCATTTTTTTCACATGTTATGACTTCACTTTATTAGATATTTACCTTTGTTTTTTTACGGTCACTTGGTCCTTTCAGCTTTGTTTTGAAGAAAGAGTCTCAGCTCTATGGAAGGCGTGCCAGGTATCTCGCCTACATCTACTTGTTGCATTTTGTTGGCAATTAATTTATTACTAAATCTATCTTACAGTAGGCTATTTAGTACTCAATGGGTCTAGATAGAGCTCGTCCACAAAATCGAGCGCGAAAGGAGAGGGTGCCCAACTCCTATTACCACATATAACAACCCAGCTTAGCGCATAGACATATATAACTTCCACCATTTAGGAAACTTATGTAGTTGTGTTTGTGTGTGTGTGTGTATGTGTGTGTTTCTGTTTGGTTGTTTGCTTCCTCTTTCTCCAGTCCCATTTTCCAACTCAAGAATCTCAAAGATTAATTTTCTGTACGTTCTCATTTCCCCGGCCTCACTTTATTTTTCGTTGCTCAACAATATGGTCATGTTTGCATTCTATTCTTTTTGTCGTTTTGCAGTGATATAGTTTCTGCAGTCGTATCATTCTTCTCGTCAGTATACACTATGAAATGGAATGAATTTTTCCCACATAAAGAATTGAAGTATCCACCATATTTCGATGGTCGTGCTGTTTGCTACCCTTCACATGAGATTCTTCGAGATTATCTATCATGGAGACAAGTTGACTGTGAGTCAGTTTATCTGTGTGTTTGAGTTTTTTTTTTGGGACATAACATGATTGTTGATGAACAAGATCATCTCCAGTTTTTCGAAAAAATCTATTGCAGATGACAGTTTGTGTCAAGTATCAGCATACCTGAGTCTGTCTTTATTTATTTATTTATTTATTTATTTTTTTTTTATTTGTCTGTTGAAGTGTCTTTGTTATTATATTCTCACTACAACCTCTGAATTTGCAGGTCACATCAATAATCAGTATAATACTTGTTTCTGGATGCTTGTAAAGTCCGGCAAAAGCAAGAGTGAAGCACTAAACTTCTTGAAGGTATGCTTTGAAAAACTCAAGTCTGCAAAGCTGCATACGGTGTCCATGTTAACAGTGTTTCATTTGTGATAAATATAAATTTGAAAATTTAGGCAACATTGATTCTTTTACTAAGAAATTTTATCTCTTGTTTTAGTCTCATGTTATTTTTTAAAAAGAAACCAAAATAGCAGAAGATGGAAGATAGTAAGTGTGGTTCTAGAGTTGTCTGTATTAATCAGTTTGTTAATTGTAAAAACAACTTGGTTGGTTACTTGATTACATGAGAAGTGGATTGGTTGATATGGAAGTCTTATGGGATAGTCTAAAACTTTGATGTGAGCTCGCGTGTATTTTATGGAATTTATTAATGTGTTTTCTGAACATATCGAGACCTGCGATTTCGAAGTATGGTTGAAATGGTGTTTTCCAAAATTGTGACTTGTCTGGAAACTGGATTTTCATGCCCCTTATATTCTGGATTTATTATTTGGTAATTTTCAGGGTACTCAAACTCAGGAGAAAAATGAACTTCTTGATCAGCTCTCCGGTATCTCAAATTACTATCAGACATCACGACCCATGTTCCGCCATGGATCATCAGTTTTCTGGGATAGGGTCTCTCTCTCTCTCTCTCTCTCTCTCTCTCTCTCTCTCTCTCTCTCTCTCTCTGTGTGTGTGTATATATATATATATGAGAACTTTCTTTGACGTACCTCATGTCATCCTTGATGGCTTTTCTCGTCCATGAGTTTTACAAAGTTTTCTTATATGATACCGAACAGTCACTTATTTTGTCACTACATGTTAGCATCGTATACGTGATCTGCAGTGCATCCTTTTATGAGCTAAGTACATATGTATAATCTCTCTCCTCATTCATGAAAAAGGAAGAGTACGAAAATGTTATGGAGGAAAATAGGTTTATGCATTGGAAGGTTCCCACTTTCTAATTCAGCTATTTTTTTGTAATAGAATGTAGAAACTACTTCATTTATTTATTTTGGCAGGAGACAATTTTGGTGGACGGGAAAGAAGGGTCCGGTGGCAAATCACGGACGATAGTTGTTGTCAAACACTGCAATATAATTGAGTCGAGCTTTTGGGAGGCACATCCTGACATACTTGACGAGAAGCCTCATTGTTTTCAGAATCCTTTGTTGCCATAGTTTTGCGCTGAGGTGCCAAAAATTACTCATGCGATGTACATCAGATGGTTGCGCAAGGTAAATAGGTCTTGATTTAATTTCAACGACATTTTTTCCATTTGGCTTGCTCTGTAGATCTAATCCTTTTGACAGTATTTGCTTTTTATTTCCTTGAGTCATGAAAACTTGCTCTAGTTCAACTCCACCTTTTCTTCTGTAAATGCTATAACCGAGTTATCCGAGTACTAAAAATCTTTTTTGTTGTCAACTTGTCATCGGAATATATTTTGAAGTGACTAACACAATAAACTCAACATGCTTTTGGAAAAATTCCACTTTGATTATTATTGCTAGACTTATTTTAGCAAATAATAACTTGGGATGCTGTTATGCTTCTTTTAGACAACATCCTTTTAACTGAAGAACATGAGTGAATGTGCTTTTGGGAAGAGTTGCAACTTTCTGCTCTGTTATTCTACATGTTTTTTGTTTGGTATTTTTTATATGTTGTGTAAGATTTTTATGCTTTCGATATATATTGATGGCACTCCTTGTTGAACGATGAATGTGTAAAATGGGGTTCTTTTGCTACCTTAGATATCTCAACACGCGAACTTGAGCCTTCTCGAAAAATATAGAGTGAGAGAAGAGGAACTTTGTTTCAAACAAAAATGGGTAGAAAAATGGCATTTCAGCCATGGCGAGTGCTGTTTGGGTCGGGTTTTGCGATTTGATTTACGCGAGTGTTGTTTTCCTTCACATGCCCGACACGCTCGTGTGGACGGGTATGGAAAGGTTGGCGGGCAGGGTGAGACCGGTGGAGGGCCGTATGAAAAATGATTCGGGACTTTGATTGTTGTAATCAATTTATTCTAAATTTTAATCGTGTACTGATGGTCAGTCTTGGTGTTAGGTCAGACTAACTATTAGACAGCTTACTTTTATGACAAATCGACTCATCTAACGGCTTGATTGGACAGTAAGTATGTTTTTGTATTCAAATATTATGATAGATTGACTCGCCTAATGGCTTGACTGGACAATAAGTATGTTTTTCTATTCAAATATTATGACAGATCGACTCGCCTAACGGTTTGACTGATTGTGTTCTAGTTTTGTGTGTGTGTGTGTGTGTGTGTGTGTGTGTGTGTGTGTGTGTGATTGTTGTTAACTATCCTCTTGTCCAAACTATTCTTCGTTGTACTAAACTTTACAACTTGGTTGCTCAAATGATCTTGCCTCTGCGCTCGAGTGGTCTAGACAAAGGAATCAATATGAAAATTATAATTTAAATGAAATGTTCTTTATATTTTTTAGTTGCCTATCATTTTAACCAAACTTCAAATTATTATACTCACTCTATTGTTTATTTTTTTTATTTATTTATCTAATCATTTAAGACTCAAGTGCCCAAAGCCGAGATTTAAAACACGAAATATGAAAATTATGCATATGATATTTGCTTGTGCAATTATACAAATGTTCCATGTGAAATTCGTATTTGATCTTTGAGTTATGGAAATATAGTTAATCTGTTTTGACATATAATTAACTTTTATTTATAGGTTAAGTTCATGAATAATAATAATAATAATAATAATAATAATAATAATAATAATAATAATAATAATAATAATAATAATAATATAAAAAAAAAAATATATTTTACGTAATCAACAGTAAATATTCTTCAACTTAGGTTGACTTAGCTAGATGAATTGATAGACATATATTTTCAATATCATCTTAGCAATAATATTATAGTTATATATTAATAATA